AACATTTGACCTGTTGAAAGTTAAGAGTCACGTGTCTGGAAAGGCTGAATACAAATGTTGTGATCCTTCTCCCATGTTAATCTCAATCCTTCCATTTTAAATCCTAAGGATTATTATTTAGTCATACAGTTATAGAATCACAGAATTGGAAGGGGCCACACGGGCCATCTAGTCCACCCCCCTGCTCAATGCAGGATCAGCCTGGAGCATCCCTGACCAGTGTTGGTCCAGCCGCTGCTTCAAGTCTGCCAGGGAGGGGGAGCTCACCACCTCCCTGGGCAGCTGATTCCACTGCAAAACTACTCTTACTGTCAAAAAGTTTTTCCTAATATCCAGCCAGTGCTTTCTAGCCCTTCATTTAAACCCATTATCACGAGTCAGGTAGACTAACCAGGGCTGCGGTCACACGGAGCATTAGCCACGCTACAGAGCCGGAAGATAGGCGGATTTTCCGGGGGCGATCACCCTGCAACATCTGGGAAGCATAGAGCTCCCGTGGCTAACCCGAGGCTTCCCTCCGAGGTACTAGTTTCCAGAAACCGCGGGGCAAGGGCGGGCGTCTGATCGCGTTTCCAGTGGTAGTTCGTGGCATCTAGCACCCGCCCATGTCCTGGCGCAAAAAGGGTTTTTTTCCCCAAGTCTTCACGGGATGCGCACAAGCACCCAACGGCGCATGCGCACACTTTGGTTAAAAAAAAACCACAACCCCGTTTGCCACGGCAGCGGCGCCTAGCCATTGCTGCTGTGATCGCACCACACCGCTTCCTTGCCGCGCCACAGGATTGTCGTGTGATCGGCACCTCCCCCCGAACGACAGGAATTAGGACAGTTTGCTGCAGTGAGCTTTAAAACAGCTTTAAAGGGGGATTAGATAGATAAATGGAGAGTAAGTCTATCAATGGCTACTAGCCATGGTGGCTGTGCGGAACCTCCACATTCAGAGGCACTAATCCTCTGAGTCTCAGGGCCAGGAGGCAACACTAGCGGAAGACTTCAGCCTCTCTGCCCTGTTGTTGGCCTTCCAGAGGAACTGTTTGGCCACTGTGTGAGACAAGATGCTGGACTGGATGGACCACTGGTCTGATCCAGCAGGGCTTTTCTGATATTCTTCTGAAGACCTTGGCCTCTATGCCCTGTTGTTGGCCCTCCGGAGGAACCGGTTGGCCACTGTGTGAGACAAGATGCTGGACTAAATGGACCACTGGTCTGATCCAGCAGGGCTCTTCTGATATTCTTCTGAAGACCTTGGCCTCTGTGCCCTGTTGTTGGCCCTCCGGAGGAACTGGTTGGCCACTGTGTGAGACAGGATGCTGGACTAAATGGACCACTGGTCTGATCCAGCAGGGCTCTTCTGATATTCTTCTGAAGACCTCGGCCTCTATGCCCTGTGGTTGGCCCTCTCGAGGAACTGGTTGGCCACTGTGTGCGACAAGATGCTGGACTACATGGACTACTGGTCTGACGCAGTGGGGCTCTTCTGATGTTCTTAATGAGTCCATTTAAGACCTCGGGTTTATTCCGATCACGTACTTCCCCCCGCCAGCCTGGCCCCTTGAACCAGGAGAGTTTCGGAGCAATGGCGGAGCTTGTACCCTTTCCCACAGGTATCCCGTGTTCTGTAACGCCAGACAGTTTGGTGCAGAGTCCTTGCTGGGGTTATTTTGTACCAATTAGCTTTTTTTTTCTCCCCCTTTCTCCTCTGCCTTTATTTTTTGCCAGAAGACAGAATTGTTTCACACATCTCTAAAACGAGTAAAATGGCATTTCAGCTCCTTGTCTTTATAGACTCTCTGAACTTTCCGAAAGATCATCCTGGTCCCTTTTCATTAATAATGAAAACCAGGGGGCAATAAAATGTTCTTAGCACGAGCAGTGCAGGAATGGAGGGAGAGATGAAAGAGGTGAAAGGGCGATGCTGATGGAGTTTTTCTGTGTGGTGTTATGGGGAGACCCACAGGTGTCTTCGGATTCTTCCCAGAGGTCACAGCGGATGGTGGAGCGGAGGGCTGACGCCTGAGCAAAAAAGCCGGGGCACAGTTTGCAGGCAGTGGTGCGGGATTTGAGCAAGTCCTGAAAAGTAGGGATCTCACCGCAAGAGTTTGGGTTCAGAAGTCTAGAGTCAGCGCCAAGGGCTAAAATTGTTTATGTTAAAAGAAATGGAGTAAATTAAGACACATTCTTAAGAGAGCCAGCGTGGTGTAGTAGTTAAGAGCGGCAGAATCTTATCTGGAGAACTGGGTTTGATTCCCCACTTCTCCACATGAAGCCTGCTGGGTGACCTTGGGCCAGTCACGGTTGTCTCAGCCTCACCTGCCTCACAAGGCTCCTGTTGTGGGGAGAGGAAGGGAAGGCGGTTGTAAGTCGCTTTGAGACCCCTTAAGGTAGAGAAAAGCAGGATATAAAAACCTACTCTTCTTCTGCTACTGCCCTTTAATTCGAAGAATGAGGCCCACTAAGACATCCACAAAGAATCCTACAAAAGATACTGGTCCACATACTAGAGCCAGTTTGGTGTAGTTGTTAGATGTGCGGACTCTAATCTGGAAGAGCCGGGTTTGATTCCCCACTCCTCCACATGAAGCCAACTGGATGACCTTGGGTCAGCCACAAGTTCTCTCAGAGCTGTTCTCTCAAAGGCAGTCCTCGAAAGAGCTCTCTCAGCTCCGCCTACCTCACAGGGTGTCTGTTGTGGGGAGGGGAAGGGAAAGGAGTTTGTAAGCTGCTCTGAGACTCCAAGTGAAGGGCGAGGTATAAATCCTATCTCCTCCTCCTTCTCCTTCTCCTTCTCATTATTTATGACTCTCTTAACTACCTAAACATATCCACATGTGGTACATAGATGGCTTGAAAGAAGACTTGTGCCCCTCCCACCCCCCCACTATTTCCCAGGTCGCCTGCAGATTATACTTGTTCACCATAGGTGAGCCACACAGGTGGCCGTCTATAGGTTTGCACCTAAAAGTAAGAGAGCAGGGTACAGAAGAGGCCGTTTTGGACTCATCCAGGAAGGCCAAGATCAGCAAATGTATTTTACGAAGTCTTTGTGGTGGTGGGACCTTGAGGAGGCCCATGGACTTCTCCAGTGATAAACTGGTGGAAAAGAACACAGGCGGCCAATAGATTTTGGGAGCTGGTAGAAGTAATGTGAGGAGTGGAGCAGGAGAGATGGGATTTGAATCCTGACTTTACCATGGAAAGTTTGCCGGGTGACCTCAGGCCACTCTTTCTCTTAGCCTCATCTACCCCACAGGGTTGTTGCGATGATAAAATGGAGGGAGGGAGAATACTGTTTTTAAGCTGGGGGGGGGAAAGCGGGTTTAAAAAGGCTTACAGAAGAGAAAAAAAGGGAAGAGGGTTGACAAATATTGGTGACTCAAGGCTTCGAGAGTGACGTGGCAAGCGGTACTTAGACGCTAAGGCAGACCGCTCTCTTTTTATTAATCAACACCTGGTGTTTTTGGCCCCTGTATGACAGAGTGTTGGACTGGATGGGCCACTGGCCTGATCCAACATTGGCTTCTCTTGTGTTCTTATGGTCTTATGACTTAGCTGAGGAAGAGTCTTTGCTTTGTTGATTTTTTTCACACTGATTTTAAGAAGTCTTTGCAAAATGATACACTAAAAATATGCATATACGCATTTGTAGATACCCTAAAGCAAAAAAATAAATTAATTAAAAAATGCTGCAGTGCCTCAGAGGTTAAGACGCTGAGCTGCAGACCGGAAGGTCTGTAGTTTGGCAGCTCGAGACCTGAGTGCCGCGTGACGGAGTGAGCTCCCATCTCCGGCCCCAGCTCCTGCCAGCCTAGCAGTTCGAAAGCAAGAAATTGCAAGTAGATAAATAGGTATCACTTCGGTGGGAAGGTCACAGCGTTCCGGGTGCCTCAGCGTTTAGTCATGCTGGCCACATGACCACGGGAACGTCTCCGAACAGCGCTGGCTCTTCAGCTTGCAAACGGAGATGAGCACCGCCCCCTACAGTCGGATCCAACTAGCTTTTGAGCAAGGGAAACCTTTATCTTTAAAGCAAAAAGATTTAGGGTTCTGAACAAAAAGAAATTCTCAAACTCTGTAAGGAGAAAATAGTGTCTCGAAGCATTGCAGGTGGAAAGAATGTGTGTTGTGTTGAGAAGTCCCTGGCAGCAATCACAGTTCCAAACTGTGATATTTCTCCCAACCGAGTTTCTCGGAATCATTTCTGACAGGCCGGGGTAATCGGTAGGACTGAAACCGAATTTCTCCAGCTGATTGTTTTAGTTTGAATATGCCTGTTTCGGTCTCGCTTCTTCGTTGTGGGGACCAGACCCTTTTGTGTTCACATCGTTTTGCATTTCCACTGGCCAAATATTTCTCTCTAAAATGAATGCATTTTTAAAACAATTTTTGCACCAGTTGCAGAGAAATTGTGTACATATTTTAGGTACATACAGATGGTATAGAAGAAACCGGAAAATAATCAACAGCAGCAACAAAAACAAGGCAGACCGAAACCGATGACCGTGGCAACGCTCCTTTCATGCCTTCCCTCTCTCCTGGAATACAGTTAAGGATTCCTGGTTTGAAACCAGCTTTTCGTTTGTGGCATACAAATGCTGGCTAACTCAGGGTTTGCTTACCCCCCACGAACTGGGATTCAAAGTCGGGACTAAACTGTGGGTTAGAATCGTGGTTTGCGAGGAGGGCAACAAATTGTGATTCGGCCAGGCCCCTCGATCTGTACATCCCAGGGAAGTTTCAGACCAGGAATCCTGAGCTGTGCTCCACATGAAGAACCATCAGAGTGCAACAACACAAGAAACAAGCTGCAGTTGGCATCCAAGCTGCAAATTGCAGCTTGGTGTGATGTTTGGAATTTGAATGCTCCTGAGCAAGGTGGCCCAGCTTTCCGTCGTGTGCCCAGGAAACCGTTTTAGCGCAGGGGGACTGCAGTCTTCGGGAATCAGTGGGAACCAGCGAGGCGACTTCACTCTTGCTCATGATGCTTATCTCTGTCCAACCAGGTCCGCCAAGCTCCAGATGGCGGGATTACGGTGCTCTAGCCATTATCATGGCCGGTATTGCGTTTGGCTTCCACCAGCTCTACAAGGTAAGTGGGACATGGATGAGGAGCAGAAAAGGGTAATTAAAGTGAATGAGGGGTTGAAATGCCTTCCCTACGAGGAAATGTTGAAGGGTTTGGGGCCTTTTTGGTTTAAAAAAAGAGGGTGTTTGTATAAAAAAAAGGGGGGGGGGGGGGGGGGGGGGGGACTTTGGTAGAAATGTATAGAATTACGTAGTGGAGAAAGTGGATAGAATCATAGAATGTTACAGTTGGAAGGGACCTTGCAGGTCATCTAGTGCAACCCCCTGCACTCTGCAGGAGCATAGCCGAAAGATAGCCCTACAACATACCCGAAAGATGGTCGTACAGCCCCCGCTCGAAAATGTCCAGCGAAGGAGCATCCACCACCTCCCGAGGCAGTCTGTTCCGCCGCTCAACCACTCTTACAGTTAGGAAGTTTCTCCTGATATTTAGCCGGTAATGACTCCCCTGTAATTTCCACCCATTAGATCTAGTCTTGCAATCTGGAGCAAGAGGGAATAGATCTGCTCCATCTTCTACATGACAGCCCTTCAGATATTTGAAGACTGCAATCGTGTCCCCTCTAAGCCTTCTCCTTCTGCCTCCCATAAGACTCGGTGCCACCAGTGAAGTTAACGGGCAGTAGACTGGGGTCAGAGAAAGAAATTATGTCTTCATACAATGTGAAATTAACTTATGGAACTCTCTGCTGCAAGACACAGTGACAGCTACTAGTGTAGGCGACTTTTAAATGAGACTAGGCAAACTCATGGAGGAGAACTCTTATCACTGGGCTAAATGGAACCTGCATGGTCAAAGGCAGTGTACCCTTAAATACTAGCTATGGGGAAGAGCAATGTTAGAAGTTGTGTTTCCCAGCTGCATGAATCCCATGGACCCCGGTTTTCTGTCCCTAGGAGATCACAACCTCTAATTTTTGTTTTATGGGAAATCCCCTCCACACACCCCTCTTCTGTCTCTAGAAATTACATTATCTGTATGTTACTGCTACCCATTGGGAGGGCCTATAGTTATGTCTGTAGAAAGTCCCGGGATGGATCCCTGCCATCTGTAGGTAAGGAAAAGGCCTTTCTCTGCCTGGGTCTTGAGAGTCAGTGTGGTTAAGAGTGCGCGGACTCTAATCTGGGAGAACCGGCTTTGATTCCCCACTCCTCCTCCTCCACGTGAAGCCTGCGGGGTGACCTTGGGCCAGTCACGGTTCTCTCCAAACTCTCTCAGCCCCACCTACCTGACAACGTGTCTGTTGTGGGGAGAGGAAGGGAAGGCGAAGGTAAGCAATGTTCCCTCTAAGCTGTGGAGTCTTGTGAGCAAAAATTCTACTTCATGAGCTGCTGGCATTAAAGCTGTGAGTGAGCGATTTGGCTGCTGCATAAATGAGTTTGCTCTGGAGCCCTCCTTCCTGAGCAAAGACAAAAATCTGTGAGCCGGAGGCTCAAAAACTGAGCTAGCTCACACTAACTCAGCTTGGAGGGAACACTGATGGTAAGCCACTCCGAGACTCCTTTGGGTAGAGAAAAGCGGGGTAGAAAAACCAACTCTTCATCTTCTTTGTCTCTGAAGAGCTGCTGCCAGTCAGAGTAGGTGATGCTGAACTAGGTGGACCAATACCCTGACTCAGTAGAGGGCAGATAAATACATTCATCTGCTGACAACTCACGTCCATGTGAAGGTGTGCGCATGAACACTAAGGCTCCAGCTGGGTACACAGCATGTGCTTTCATTCACTGCGGCTGCTGAATATATTTTGGAACTGTGAATAACCCTGTAGGACAAGCTGATCTTGTAGCTTATCCTAAGCAACAAATTCTGTTGCGTCTGGCTTTTAAATTGGGGAGGACAGGCAATTGCTAAGTAAATGAATCCAGTGTGCAGCCTTCAGCAATGAATAATCAACACAAAAGGGACTCAGGCAAGTGGCTCTTGGTAGAAGAAGGAGACAACTCTCTAAGCCTGTCCCTGTTTTGATCTGTGCTTGCTGGAGATGGGCTGATTCCAGATTTGCTGAGGCTAGCTTTACTTACTCTGCAGTGAACAAGAGGAACTTGGAGTATGCTTAGGCGCACTCTTGTTATCACATTAGCCCTGGAAGAAGAAGAGGAGGAGGAGGAGGAAGAGGAGGAGATACCCTGCCCTTCACTCAGTGTCTTAGAGCGGCTCACAATCTCCTTTCCCTTCCCCTCCCCACTGAGAAAGCTCTCTCGAGGACTGCCCTTGAGAGAACAGCTCTGAAAGAACTTATGACTGACTCAAGGTCACACCAGCAGCTGCAAGTAGAGGAGTGGGGAAATCAAACCTGGTTCTCCCAGATTAGAGTCCGTGCTCTTAACCACTACACCAAACAAAGCAGGTCAAATTAAGCCCGGACGTGGCCCAAGTATCTTTTCCTCAGGTCCCGCAGTGCCCATGTGACGTTCTTAGTGGGTTTTGTGGCACTGGGAGCGGCTGCAATCTATCTAGGTGAGGCTGTCAGCCAACATCTGTATCATTAATGTCGTAGTTTCAAGTGGAAAACATATTCCCCACCCTCAGGCGCTTCAGGTTCTTTTATGTAGTAAGCTTTCTTTGAAAAGTACCTTTAAACAGTTCTCCCTCTCTGTCTCTGTTTTTCTCTCTCTTTCTTAAAAGGCAAGGATCAGAAACAGATTCCAAAATTGTTCTAATCTGGTTCATAACCACCACCACCACCCCCGCCTTTCTGCGTCGTGGATATTTGAACGTATCTGTCTTGCTGTATACACAGGCACACAGGAAGCCCCGTCAGAGTCAGTCTTGTCTACTCAGACTGGCAGTGTCTCTTCAGGGCCTCAAGCGGAAGTCCTTCACATCACCCACAGCCCGGTCCTTTTAACTGGAGATACCAGGGATTGAACCTGAGACCTTCTATATGCCAAACAGAGGCTTTTCCCCTGGGCCACAGCCCCATCCCAGAGGTGAAATCCCTTTCAGGACAGGGAATCTTCACAAGAGTGAGCATATGCTGGAAATGTACGGTGCTGCCTGATGCTGGCTCAGACGACTGGTCCCAGGGCCAACTTATCCATTAGGCACCGTAGACACAGTGCCTAGGGCCCATGATACTTTTAGGGCCTCTCAAAATTGTTTTAATTTCTTTTTACAGTCAGAAGGGCAAATGAGTTGAAGAAAATGTTTTTCCCCCTCACGTCAGAATTTTTTTTTTTTAGGGCCCATGAAAATCTATTAAATTTTGTCTAAAAACAAGGGATAATATGTTGACATATTTAAGGGAAGGGAAGGCAATTGTAAGCGGCTTTGAGGTTCCTTCGTGTAGTGAAAGGCGGGGTATAAAAAACAAATCCTTCTCCTTCTTCTCCTTCTCCTCCTTTTACTCCTTCTCCTTCTCATCCTCCTTCTTTTTCTCCTCCTCCTCCTCCTCTTTCTCTTCCTCCTTCCTTTTCTCCTCCTCCTCCTCCTCCTCTTTCTCTTCCTTCTCCTCCTCCTTTTTCTCCTCCTCCTTTTTCTCCTTTTCCTTCTCCTCCTTCTCCATCTCCTTCCTCTTCTCTTTTCTCCCTCCCTCCCCCTCCTCCCCCTCCTCCTTTCAAAAATAATTTTTATTCTTGTTATTATGGTGGGAGGGACCCACGAAGGCAGAAGTGCCTAGGCCCACAAAAGTCATCACTGACTGGTCCAGCAAGCTGATGACTCTGCCTTCCAGTGGAGGGTCTTTCCCGACACTTGCTCCTTTTGATCTTGTGACTGGAGATGCCAGAGACGGGGAGCTGCGTGCAAAGCAGGTGCTCTGGCCAGGGAGAGAGTCTATCCCTCTATCTCCAGAAGGTAGCGAGCTCAGGTATTTGCCAGCCCCCCCCCCCCCCGCCCGCCAAATGGCTCCAGCCCGCACAGCTGGGCCTCTAGCCTCATTCTTTGCATGGCAGCCAGAAAAGGACAAGAACATTCTTAATGTGTGTTTGGCTCTCGTAGATTTAAGGGGACTCAACAAAGGATGACTTGCTTGAGGGATTGCCCAGTGTTGGCTCCCTCTGTGTGTGTTTTCCAGGGGAGGGAGGATAGGAATTATTGCTTGTATTTGTCCAAGCTTGAGAAACTGGATTGTCATTCTTTACAAGATTTGCATAACTGTATAGTTTGGGGAAAGGGGTTTCTCCTTCTAGCCACTCAAATTCCTGTCGTCGTCCCCCCCCAAAAAAACCAGATCTCCACTGTGGTTTTTTTAAAAACAGTTTTTAACTTGTGAGCGTCTCCGCCACCAAATATACACACGCCCATGAACCATGAGAACTAGAAACCTGGTCATTAATTTAAAAGCAAAACTGAGCTTCTCAGAATTGCACCCAAGATGATAAGCCCTAAAAAGCTCATAAATTCAAGATCCTATCCAACGAGGCATCTGCTTGGAAACCTTGCATTTCTAGGCAGAGGCCTGAAATCCCTTCCCTGCAAAAAAAACTTTACTCTCTTTCTTACCTAGCATTTAAAACGTTATTATTAGTTAAGACCTCTATAGCATATCGCTGTAAAGTAGTGTATCGCTTCAGGTAGTGTACATTTTCCCCACCACGTTTTGAGTAAAATCCTCTATCAAAGTGCGGCGATCCCCCTAGGTGGTATCCCCCCCCCCAGCACTAGCATTTGTTTTAACTTTTCAGAATTCCTAAAGAAATCAAGAAATCAAGAAAATGCCCGCCACTGCCAGCAGTGCTGTTAGATCATTAGCGTATCATACAAAGTCCGTCACCGTCCTCATCTAATTTATTTTTGCAGCAGAACGGAGAAATTGCATTTTGTGGTTTCATTTCATGACTAAGTGGGGAATCGAAAGGGGAGAGGAGAGTCGCTCGCACCAAGTCCCCCATGCACCTCTTCTGTTGCAGTGTATCACCCCTATCCGGAATGTTGCTCTCACTAGGGTTGCCAACTTCCAGGTGGTGGCTGGAGATCTCCTGGGGTTGCAACCGATCTCTAGGCGACATAGATCAATTCCCCTGGGGAAAAATGTCTGCCTTGGAGGTTGAACTCTGTGGCATCGTACCCCACTGAAATCCCTGCCCTCCCCTGACTCCACACCAATGCTCCCTCTGAGCTGTGGAGTCCTGTGAGCAATAATTCTACTTTGTGAGCGACTGGCATGAAAGCTGTGAGCGAGCGATTTGGCTCCTGCATAAATTTAGCTTCCTCTGGAGCCCTCCCTCCTGAGCTGAGGCAAAAATGTGTTAAAAGGTAAAGGTTCCCCTGCTCGAACGCCAGTCTATCTGACTCTAGGGTTGCAGTGCTCATCTCTATTTCAAAGCCGAAGAGCCAGCGCTGTCCGAAGACGTTTCCGTGGTCATGTGGCCGGCATGACTAAACACCAAGGCGCATGGAACGCTGTTACCTTCCCACCGAAGTGGTCCCTATTTATCTACTTGCAATTTCTTGCTTTCGAACGGCTAGGTTGGCAGGAGCTGGAACTAGAGACGGGAGCTCACTCCGTCTTGCGGCGCACTCTTGTCTTGAACTGCTGAACTACTGACCTTCCACAGCCTGCAGTTCGGCGTCTTAACCCCTTGAGCCACGGCAGCTCCTAAAAATGTGTTAGCCGGAGGCTAAAAAACTGTGAGCTAGCTCACACTCACTCAGCTTGGAGGGGCCACTGCACCCACACCCAGACCTTCCAGGAATCACCCAACCCAGAGTTGGCAACCATATATAATTCTCTCCCTGTTCCAAGTGCTCACTTTTGTTAACAGTCACAGGGCTAGAACTTGCTTTCAAAAAGAAGCAAATGTGAAAGCTGAAAGGGCCGGATTCTGCTCACAACGGAGGCTTTGGCTTTGGATAAGTCAGTAAAGCGAGTTCTTAAAATATAATTGATAAAAGCCATGCTTCTCTCCCCCCCCCTCCCCCTTCTGCATCGGCTCCCACAACGGTCCCGGAAACAAACATCAGGCCGTCCTGTCTGTCTATCAGACACATCGTTGGAACTCGTGAACAGTTCATAGGCGGGCCTAGTGACTCGCAGTCCAGGGTCCTGCCCAAAGTATCCCCTGTTGTTTGTTCTTCATATCCCCCCCCAACACACACCCAACATATCCCTCTGCTCTCTCTCTCTCTCTCTCTCTCTCGCAGAAATACCTCCTCCCTCTCATCATGGGGAGCAAGGAAGATAGGAAGCAACTTCAGAGGATCGAGTCGAACATTTCCGAAATGAGCGGCACCGTGACGCAGACAGGTGAAGATTAATGATTCCATCAATTCTTCGCCCCTCAAAGCCCTTCCTCCCTGCCTCCCCTCTCCCCCCCCCTGCCCGCCGCCGCCTTCCCCTTCCTTTCCCCAGCCTTCCCCTCCATCTCCACTTTATATGGTGACTTCATTTATCTGCTCTGAGAAATCTGTTCACATTTGCAAATGAAGCCGCCGTCATTTCGGTTTAATTTGAAATTGCTTGTTTACTGTCGGCACGGCCTCAATTAATTATGTTTTTACGGAAAGGCTCCCAACCTCAGAATATTAATAAGGGGAATAAAATGACAGCCTTTCGGAGGGGCTGTAAAGTTCATTTTTAATTTCTGCTTCTCCGAGGGTTTTCTTTGGGGCCCCCCCCCACACCTTTGGGTGGCTGCTCCCCCTCCTCCCCCGTCTCCCTCCTGCAATTCCAAGGCAGGGTCAAGAGAGGCGGTAATTACAGAGCCCCCCCCTGACCCCGGCAGCCTTCTCCGTTATTGAATCCATAGGGCTCCTGTTCATTACCCAGTGCCCCCATGATGACCCAGATTACCTGCTACCTGTCACGCTGCGGGGAATTTTTTTTTTTATGAACCTGTTCACTAGACGGAAGCTCTGAATTACAATTTTCCTTAAAAAAAAAATTCCTCTGAAGGAGACATAAACCATTCCCCTCCATCAAGAGTCGATTTTCTTTCCAAGCAACATTCCTCCCCCCCCCCCCCCCCGCTACATCTCTTCT